CATCTGAGCCCAGCCCTGACCGGCCTCCCCCAACAGAACGCCTGTGCCGCCCCTGTCCCTGGGAGTGGACATTCTTCCAAGGAAACTGTTATTTCATATCGAACTCCCAGCGGAACTGGCACAACTCCATCACCGCCTGCCAGGAGGTGGGGGCCCAGCTCGTCGTAATCAAAAGTGCTGAGGAGCAGGTACACCTGGTGGGGGTCCCCGTCCTGGCCTGGGGCATGGCTTCTGGCCAACAGGGGAGGAGATGTTGAAAGAGGATTTTGCAGAAGAGGGGTTTTGTTCCACTTGGAAAGATGGGAAGAGAAGGATATGAATGAGGGAGTCCCAAGTACCCTTAGAGCAGATACAAACCAAGTCTGAACATGTGTGAAAGCTCTGGGGAAAATGTAAACTATAAGTCACCCCCAGTGGCATGCCACAAGTGGTTAACAACCAGCTCTCTGGGGGAGGAAGTCCTGATGCGTTCTGTTTGCCAATTTCCCTGGTGTAAATATTCCCATGGCGGCTGATTTCAAGCTGTCGATGTGATGTCACTCAGTGCAGAGCTGAAAGGAGATGTGCATGACCAGCAATTAGGAAATGGATGTGGCTCCAATACATTAAGCCCAGTTATGAGTAAATGTGTGCAGACGTGCACAGAATGTATAAAATGGATAAACACGCAGTGTTAGCAAGAGTGTGTGAGGAGAGTGTGAGGAGAGGCCAGCTGTGCATGGGTGTGTGCACATCAGGGCACATGTGCTGTGGGATACACATGTAAGAGGGACTCAGACACAAGGGGACTTAGGACCCAGTGTACCGGAAGGCTGAAGGTTAGCCTACAAGCAGAACTTCTTGCCAAGAGATGGGGAGACAGAGCCTGGAAAATGGGAAGCAGAGCTCCCTCCTGACTCCTCCTCTACCCTCCAGAACTTCCTACAGTTGCAGTCTTCCAGAAGTAACCGCTTCACCTGGATGGGACTTTCAGACCTAAATCACGAAGGCACATGGCAATGGGTGGATGGCTCACCTCTGTTGCCCAGGTAGACCTCAGAAGGGGCATTCCATCCGCTAGGGCTGGGGCTCTGCAACTCTGACTTGAACTTCCCCTGGGGATCCCTCCCCAACTCCCTGACACCCTAGACCCAAGAATCTGGGAGTTTTACTGAGTTGAGGAAGGTGGTCTTCTTACCCACCTCCAGACAGCATAGCAGGTGCCTAAAATTCCACCAGCAGAGCTGCAGGAGGAGCTTACCCCGTGGGTGGGTGTGTTAAAATATAGTGTATTAATAGGAAATCTGAGGTCTAGTAAGGCCACCAGCTCAGGAGACACCTGCCATTGTGAGTAGCATCTCATATACATAGATCCCTAGAGAGAGGACACATCACAGCTGGGGGCCACCTGGGGAAGCACCAGGGTCTGCTATGAGGCAGAGTGGTGGGGAGGGGTGACTGTGGGCCAGAGCGTTTATTATGGTTTGTATGGAAAGGAAAGGTCAAGGCCAGGTGAACAGGCTTAGGATTGGGAAGTATGAAGCATTTGTGGGCTCTGGGGCACAGGGGCTGCCCCTAGCTGTCTACCATCTGGCCTTGGGTTGATTAGCACAGGATAGTGGCTTGGAGTACAAGAGCCCAGTAAAGCAGGTGGCTGGGGGTGTGGACTCCAGATTGGTTGGTTTGTATTTGAAAATCACACCCTCAGTAGGTGGAGTCCACCCAAGGACAGGTTGTGAGAAGAGAGGCAGGAACCCAAGGCACCGTGAGTCAGGCATATTATCAGGTATGCAGAGGGATTCATGTCCAGCACAAACACGCAGGGCAGATGTTAAAGCGCCAAGACGACAGAAGGTAGAAACACAGCTCATGTAGCCGGGGCGGGGGGAGTGGGGGGCAGAGGCTCACATTCTGCATGCGCTTTGCAGCTTCAAGCAGTATTGGAACAAAGGAGAGCCCAACAATATTGGGGAGGAAGACTGTGCGGAATTTAGTGGCAATGGCTGGAACGATGACAAATGCAATCTTGCCAAATTCTGGATCTGCAAAAAGTCAGCGGCCTCCTGCTCCAGGGATGAAGAACGGTTGCTCTCCCCAGCCCCTACCACCCCAAACCCCCCTCCTGAGTAGCAGAACTTCACCCACTTTTAAGCTACAGTTCCTTCTCTCCATCCTGCGACCTTCACAAAATCTCTGGGACCGTTCTCTGTCAGATTCTTTCTCCTTTAGAAGGCTGGGTCCACATTCTGTCCTTCTTGTCATGCCTCCAAGTTCCCCTGGTATAGAGCTTGTTTTTCTGGCCCACCTTTGGAGCTTTATGAGTGAGCTGGTGTGGGATGCTTTTGGAGGGGGTGGACTTGTGTTCCAAGAATCCACTCTCTCTTCCTTTCCGAGATCAGAATATTTGGGTTGCCATGTGTAGCTTCTATGTCCCCTGCGGCATTATCTCATATATGCAAACCTACAATCTGTTCAACTTCCACCTACCACCTCCTGCACCCCTTTGACTGGGGACTTACTGGTTGCAAGAGCTGATTTTGCAGGCTGGAAGTACCAGGGAATTAATTCCCCCAGTCTACCAATGGCACCCAGAGAGGCATGGAGGCTCCACACAACCGCTTCCACCTCCCACATCTTCCTTTGTCTTATACATGACTTCCAGTTGGCTGTTTCGAAGTTGTATTCTTTATGTTATTATTATTATTATTATTTTTAGAGATGGAGTTTCGCTCTTGTTGCTCAGGCTGGAGTGCCATGGCGCGATCTTGGCTCACCGCAACCTCCGCCTCCCGGGTTCAAGTGATTCTCCTGCCTCAGCCTCCTGAGTAGCTGGGATTACAGTCATGTGCCACCAGGCCCGGCTAATTTTTTGTATTTTTAGTAGAGATGGCGTTTCTCCATGTTGGTCAGGCTGGTCTCCAACTCCCGACCTCAGGAGATCTGCCCGCCTTGGCCTCCCAAAGTGCTGGGATTACAGGTGTGCACCACTGCACCTGGCCTATTATTTTTTGTAAGAATAAAACAGGTTTATTTGGATTTGGGACTCTGAATAGTTCTGTCTCTGCTACCTGATCTCCTCCTGCCATGACTTCGGGACCTAGAGAACTTTGGCTCCAGCTGTGAGGGTTCCTGCAGTTCTGGCTCTGGCTGCACCGGCCCCTGCTGCGGTCACTATTTCTTCCTCTACTTGGTGAACTGTGCCTCTCCTGGGCGCGGTGTGCACGCCCAGCTAATTTTTGTATTTTTGGTAGAGACGGGGTTTCAACATGTTGGCCAGGATGGTCTCTATCTCTTGACCTCGTGATCCACCCGCCTCAGTCTCCCAAAGTGTTGGGATTACAGGCCTGAACCACCGTGCCCGGCCTCTCCCCACGTTCTTGAACTCGGGCAGCACATTCTCATAGAAATCTAGGAACTGTTGGTAGGTTTCATCCTTGCTGTACTCCAGGCTTGTGTCGGGGTCATAGTCATCCCTCCTGCATTGCTCCATTCCAAACGCTGTAAACATGTTCTTAATAAGAAGGGTAGGACTGGATGTTGGGAAATTATGTTTACGTGAACATCTATCTCCAAATCTGCAAGCTCCTGTTTTACTGTAGATGAAACAATTAGCTGGATCCTTCTCCATGACTCTGAAATCCAAGGCGGGGTTCCGGGTTTTGCCATGTGGCGCCATTTTCCAACTCATTTTCAGCCTGATCCAGCATCTTCTGGACAGCTTCCTGTTTTTCTTTCTTCTCCTCTCGTTTCTGTTCCTCCTCTTCTCTCTCTTTCCTCTGCTGTTCTTCCCATTGTTCCTTTAAGTTTCGCTCTTGTTCTTGCTGTTTTCGAGCCGCCTCTTCCTTTTCCTTCTTTATTCTGAATTCTTCCTGTGCCTTCTGCTCGGCAATCACTCCTCATGTAATCTTTGCCTCTCTCTTCCCCGTAGCTTTTCTAGTTGTTGTTTTTCAATAGAAGTGTCCTCCTCCTTCTGTGAGAGTCCTGAGTCCCTCAGTGGAGCAAGTTCCTGCCGGCGTTTCTTTCGTTTCTCCTTCTTCAGGGCGCCCCTGTACTTTCTGTAGCTTGGTTTCTCTGGAAATGTCATCTTCTCGGGCGCAGCCATCTTGCCGGCACTGCCCCGCCCCTCTAGTTGTATCCTTTATAATAAACTGGTAAACATTGTAACCGCAGATCCAGCCTAATCTGGTTCAACTTTGTGTAATAAAATGGCGAGTTGTTTTTCAGTTACTGTGGACCCCCAGGTTGCAAGTTACGTACCCTGGGCACGCCCAGATGAACCAAGTGTGCAGATCCAGGCGGAACCTAAGTGCTCAGACGGAGGAACAGGGACTGAGTTAAGAAGTGGACACCACGTGGCATGATCTGTGATCCAATCAGATTGAGCCCTAGCATCACTCCAGGGCATGATCCAATCAGATCAAGCCTGCTGAATCCCCTCATTACAAGATCCAATCACATCATGCCTCACTATCCTTTGTGTATAAAATCTGCCCCAGCCCCCAGCTTGGAGAGACAGATTTGGGCCAGACTGGTGTCCCCTTGCTTGGCTGCCTTGGAATAAATTTTTCTCTCTACAAAACCCCAGTGCTTCAGTGTTTGATTTTCCACTGTGAGCCAGGGAACTGACCCAATTTAGTTCAGCAACAGCATAAGCAAAATGTTTTCCTAAGTTCTCTAAATAATTCTAGGAAATTACTGAACTTAAGATAGGCTTATCGGAAGCCCCAGTTTTTTGCCAGCCTGGCATAAGTGTGGGTAGACAGTGCAAAGGCACTGTCTTTGCACCTGGCATCTGAAGCGGGGTCTGTCTTTTGGGATCTAGTCCTTTAACTTGTGGAATATGGTGCTAATTCCAGGAAGCTAGTGTTAGAATTAGAGAATTTTTTTCATCACTTCCCTTCTACTGATGTTGATCCCAAAGACGCTCCTTCATAAACAGCTTGTAAGCTAAATTCCATCTTACTTAGAGTTGACCTTCAACAGGCAGAGGAACTGTGAGGCTTGTTCTGTGTCGTCTCCCAGAGGCTCCCAGGGGAATTGGGCCCAGTTGCCCTTTTCAGCTCATTAGTGCCTTTGTATTGGGTTCTTTCCTTTCTCTACCTGCTTCTCTTTATTCTCCCTGTTCCCTGCTGGTGCTTCTTGGAATCTCCTCCCAGATAAGCTACTTACTTATATCCAAATCCTTGTCTCAAGCTCTGCACTGGGGGAAACCCAAGCCAAGCTTATAATATATTTTGATAACTACCAGGCATGGCTCTTTTTGTGTGTGAGACAAGGTCTTGCTCTGTCACCCAGGCTGAAGTGCTGAGGTGCAATCATGACCTACTGCAGCCTTGACCTCATGGGTTCCAGTGATCCTTCCACCTCAGCCTCCTGAGTAGCTGGGACCACACTTGTACATCACCATATCTAGCTACTTTAAAAAAACTTTTTGTAGAGATGGGGTCTCACTGTGTTGCCCATGCTGTTCTTGAGCTCCCAGGCTCAAATCATCCTCCTGCCTCAGCCTCCCAAAGTGCTGAGTTTACAGGCATGAGCCACTATGGCCTGCCTGGTCGTGGCCCTTCTCTATCAAAATGTTCTCAGGTATTCTTGTGCAATTTTTAGATGATTTTTGAAACTACTCTGGCTTTAAAGGTTTTCATTTACTTGTGGAATAAGTCACGTGTGCACACAGAACCAAAACGTATCAATCTCTACAGTGAAAACTAAAGCTCATTCCGTCCCCATCTTCCCATCTCAAGAGGTTACTGTCCCCACTTGTAGCTTTGCTATTTATTCCCAAGTAAAGAATATAACCTCTTTATTATATCCCAAATAATGAGCTTGTCAGGTTTGTTTTAAAACCTGTTTGGAAATCCTTCAATAGAATTTTGAAAATCTATCTGTCGAGTAGGTGGAGCCCAAATGATTTTTATTTATTTTTTTTATTTTTTGAGACAGAGTCTCACTCTGTTGCCCAGGCTGGAGGGCAGTGGTGCAATCTCAGCTCCCTGCAGCCTCTGCCTCCCGGGTTCAAGCAGTTCTCCTGCCTCAGCCTCTTGAGTAGCTGGGATTACAGGCACCCGCCACCACGCTTGGCAATTTTTTTGTATTTTTTGTAGAGACGGGGTTTCACCATGTTCGCCAGGCTGGCCTCGAACTCTTGACTTCAGGTGATCCACCCGCCTTGGCCTCCCAAAGTGCTGGGATTCCAGGCATGAGCCACCGTGCCCAGCCTATGAAATTTTATTTTCTTTTACAAAGTAGATTCACGTTGTTGTGCAACCATCACCACCATTCATCTCACAAACTTTTTCATCTTCCCAAGTGAAACTCTGTTCCCAGGAAACACTGACTCCCTGTTCCCCATTCCCCAGCCCCTGGCATCCACTATTCTACTTTCTGTCTCTATAAATCTGACGACTCTGGGGAACCCGTATGAAGGGATTCATACAGCCTTTGTCTTATTATGACTGGCTTATTTCACTTAGCATGTTGTCCTCAAGGTTCATCATGTTGTAGCATGTGTCAGAATGTCTTTTCTTCTTTTTTTTTTTTTTTTGGACCAAAAAAAAAATGTCCTGTTGCTCAGGCTGGAGTGCAGTGGCGCGATCTCGGCTCACTGCAGCGTCTGCCTCCTGGGTTCAAGCAACTCTCCTGCCTCAGCCTCCCGAGTAGCTGGGACTACAGGCATACACCACCACGCCTGACTAATTTTTGTATTCTTTTTTTTTCAGTAGAGATGGGGTTTCGCCATATGGACCAGGCTGGTCTTGAACTCTTGACCTCGTGATCTGCCTGCCTTGGCCTCCCAAAGTGCTGGGATTACAGACATGAGCCATTGCATCTGGCCAGTGTCCTTCCTTTTTAAAGGATATATATCCTTTAAAGGATATATATACATATATATCTTATGTCATATATATCATATATATCAGATGTATGATATATCTGATATATATATATATATACACACACACATATATATATACTGGTGACCACACAGGTTGTTCCAATTTGGAAAGAACCAAATTTAGGAATTTGGGAACAATTCAAAGACATTATGAATATTTTATTTCCTCCTTGATGCCATTTGACTGTCTTTTGGTGAACTGTCTTTGACTGTCATTGAGGCAGACTGTCTGGGTTCAAATCCCAGATGTCCCATTTACTAGCTGTGTGACCTTGGGCCAGTTACATAACCTCACTGTGCTTTAGTATCCCCCATCTGCAAAACGGAAATCATATGATCTACCATAGGGTAGGAAGATTCAAGTGAATGAGTGTATAAACTTACTAGAAAAGTGCTTGACTATCATAGGCATTAAATAAACAAGGAATTCTGATTCAGCCTCAACTCCCAAAGTCAGCAAAAATTCTCATAAATGAGGACATCAGCAGATCACAGCAACAAAGCCTGTGGTCAGGGAGGATGATGGTTGCAGGAACTAGGGGTACTGCCTGCCCATCCCTGCCCTAGGTGGAGGGGTATAACGAAGTCACTTTTCATTAGAACTTACTGGATTTCATTAAAAGCAACACGCAGCTCAACTATGGAAGGAGTGGACGAATCCTTCTCCCTGTCAACCTCAGACCATTCCCCACCAGCTCCTTGAAATTCCTGCAAGGTCAGGGCCATCTCATGCTCTGACCCCTCCCACCGGCCTTTTGGGTGTTATATCCCTACCCAGTTTCCTGTTTTTCTTCCTCAGTAAGAAGAGATTTAGGGAGCGAGAATCGCGGGGTGGGAAATCAGCATTGTGGTCCCCAGAAGTTCTGGAAATTGAGGGACGGTGGGGGAAACATGAGTGACTCCAAGGAACCAAGGGCGCAGCCGCTGGGCCTCCTGGGTGAGGCTGAGCTGGGGCTCTGGGATCCTGGGGTGCGCTAGGATCCTGGGGATGCTTTGGGATCCTGGGGTGGGAAGGGGATGGCTAGCCCTGGCCTCAGCCTGCCCAGGCTCTGAGTTCGTATTTATCCATTTAGAAGAGGAAGAGCTGATAACTAGCAGTATGAATTTTTTTCCAAGAGACTTTGGATTCCGACAGACTCGAGGCTACAAGAGCTTAGCAGGTAGAGAAGGGTTAGTTGGAAGGGAGGAGAGAACAGAACCTCCCAGACTCCTGGGTCCTGGTGAGCAGGTGGCTGGAGCCTGGACTCCTGGGACCTGGGGAGGTGGAGGCTGGGTCCTGGGTTCCTGGGTCCCGGGGAGCTGGTGGCTGGAGCCTGGACTCCTGGGACCTGGGGAGGTGGAGGCTGGGTCCTGGGTTCCTGGGTCCCGGGGAGCTGGTGGCTGGGGCCTGGACTCCTAGGACATGAGGAGGTAGAGGCTGAGTCTTGGGGAGGTGGGGGCTGAGATCTGGATTCCTGGGACCTGGGGTGGTGGGGGCTGGAGCCTGGACTCCTGGGTCCTATGGAGGCAGGGGCTGGGGCCTGGACTACTGAGACTTGAGGAGGTGGAGGCTGGGGCCTGGGTTTTGGGGTCCTGGGGAGGTGGAGGTTATGGGCCTGGGTCTTGGGGAGGTGGGGCCTGGGGACTTGGACTCCTGAGTCCTAGGGAAGTAGAGGCTGGAGTCTGGACTCCTGGGATGTGAGGAGGTGGGGGCTGGGGTCTGGGTTCCTGGGTCCTGGGGAGGTAAGGGCTGGGGGCTTCACTCCTGGAAGCTGGGAGGTGAGAGCTTGGTTCCTGGACTCCTGGGTCCTAGGGAGGTAGAGGCTGGGGTCTGGACTCCTGGGTCCTAGGGAGGTGGAGGCTGGGGTCTGGACTCCTGGGTCCTGGAGAGGTGGGAGCAGGGTCCTGGACTCCTGCATCCTAAGGAGGTAGGGAGGCTGGGGTCTGGACTCCTGGGTCCTAGGGAGGTGGAGGCTGGGGTCTGGACTCCTGGGTCCTGGAGAGGTGGGAGCAGGGTCCTGGACTCCTGCATCCTAAGGAGGTAGGGGCTGGGACGTGGACTACTGATACCTTAGGAGGTGGAGGCTGGGGCCTGGGTTCCTGGGGGCTGGGGAGGTGGGGGCTGGGGACTTGACTCCTGCCACGTGGAGAGTTGGGGCTGGGGCTTTCACTCCTGCCATTTGGGGAGGTGGCGCTGTGGCCAGGCTTTCCCTGGGCCAGGCTGAGGCTTGGGCACTGGCATGCTGGAACCAAGCAATCTCTCCTCCTGCAGGGTGTCCGGGCCCCGCACCCCTGGTGCTGCCGCTCCTCTTCTTCACACTCTTCACTGGGCTGCTGGTGGCCATCCTTGTCCAAGGTCAGCAGCGGGCTCTGAGAGTCCTGGCCTCCCAGGCCTGCTTCTTCTGCTGTAGACGCAGCTGGGGGTGGCCAGTTCCAAGACGAACGAAGAGCTAACAGCTGGCCTTCTGTCCCTTTGGGTTTCCAGAGGCCTTTCCCCATGACCACTCCCATCTCCAGGGCAGGGGAGGGGAGGAGGACAGGCTCTCCTGCCCCTTCCCTGCTGCCTTCTCTGGGTGTCAGTTTTCCTTATCCAAAAACGGATTTAAACAAGATTTTTTGTGCTCAGAAATAACGTCCTTAGGGGGGCAATGTAGGGCATGGCACACAGCAGGTGTTTAATCATTGCAATTTCTTTCCTTGTCCCAGTCTCCAAGAACCCCAGCTCCCAGAGGCTGGAGCAGTCCAAGCAGGACGAGATCTCCCAGGACCTGTCCCAGCTGAAGGCTGCTGTGGGTGAGTGGCCAGATGCCAGGGGTCCTTGGGCCTGGGAGGGTTTCCACGGTGTGTGACTTTGCTTGAGTCACTAACCCTCTCTGAGCCTCAGTTTCTTCTTCTGTGAAATAAGAACACAGATTAACAGCGATGCTTGCACTTGGTGTTCAGTGGGCCAGGTACACGGTAGGCACTCAGTCAAGCTAGTCTCTTGCCTTCTGTTCTGTGCTCTAAAGCCCCGACTTCTCCTAGTCTGGGGGAGATGGGGCCAGGACTCCCAGGTTCTCATGGGGATGGGGGAGGGTCTCGGGAAGTGGGGAGGGGAATGGTCCACCCAGCGTGGACAGTCAAGGAAGAGCTCCGACTCTCAAGACCTTGAAGGCTGGGCAGATACAGGAATATGGACGACCTCATCTGAGCCCAGCCCTGACCGGCCTCCCGCAACAGAACGCCTGTGCCGCCCCTGTCCCTGGGAGTGGACATTCTTCCAAGGAAACTGTTACTTCATATCGAACTCCCAGCGGAACTGGCATGACTCCATCACCGCCTGCCAGGAGGTGGGGGCCCAGCTCGTCGTAATCAAAAGTGCTGAGGAGCAGGTACACCTGGTGGGGGTCCCCGTCCTGGCCTGGGGCATGGCTTCTGGCCAACCAGGGAGGAGGTGCTCAGAGAGGATTTTGCAGAAGAGAGGCTTTGCTCCACTTAAAAAGATGGGAGGAGAAGGATATGAATGAGGGAGTCCCAGGTACCCTTAGAGCAGATACAAACCAAATCTGAACATGTGTGAAAGCTCTGGGGAAAATATAAACTATAAGTCACCCCCAGTGGCATGCCACAAGTGGTTAACAACCAGCTCTCTGGGGGAAGAACCTGATGTGTCGTGTCTGCCAGTTTCCCTGGTGTAAATATTCCCATGGCAGCTGATTTCTTTCTTTTTTTTTTTTTTTGAGACGGAGTCTCGCTCTGTCGCCCAGGCTGGAGTGCAGTGGTGCGATCTCGGCTCACTGCAAGCTCCGCCTCCCGGGTTCACGCCATTCTCCCGCCCCAGCCTCCAAGTAGCTGGGACTACAGGCGCCCGCCACCACGCCCGGCTAATTTTTTGTATTTTTAGTAGAGACGGGGTTTCACTGTGTTAGCCAGGATGGTCTCGATCTCCTGACCTTGTGATCTGCCCGCCTCAGCCTCCCAAAGTGCTGGGATTACAGGCGTGAGCCACCGCGCCTGGCCAGGTGGCTGATTTCAAGCTGTCAATGTGATGTCACTCAGTGCAGAGCTGAAAGGAGATGCACATGACCAGCAATTAGGAAATGGATGTGACTCCAATACATTAAGCCCAGTTATGAGTAAATGTGTGCAGACATGCACAGAATGTATAAAATGGATAAACACGCAGTGTTAGCAAGAGTGTGTGAGGAGAGGCCAGCTGTGCATGGATGTGTGTACGTCAGGACACATGTGCCGTGGGATACACATGTGAGAGAGACTCAGACACGAGGGGGCTCAGGACCCAGTGTACCAGAAGGCTGAAGGTTAGCCTACAAGCAGAACTTCCTGCCAAGAGATGGGGAGACAGAGCCTGGAAAATGGGAAGCAGAGCTCCCTCCTGACTCCTCCGCTACCCTCCAGAACTTCCTACAGCTGCAGTCTTCCAGAAGTAACCGCTTCGCCTGGATGGGACTTTCAGATCTAAATCAGGAAGACACGTGGCAATGGGTGGACGACTCACCTCTGTCAACCAGGTAGATCTCAGAAGGGGCACCCTATCTACTGGGGCTGGAATCGTCAAACTCTGACTTGAACTTTCCCTGGGGATCCTCCCCAACTCCCTGACACCCTAGATCCAAGAATCTGGGGGTTTTTACTGAGTTAAGTGGTCTTCATACTCACCTGCAGACAGCATGGCAGGTGCCTAGAATTCCACCAGCAGAGCTGCAAGAGGAGCTTACCCCATGGGTGGGTGTGTTAAAATATAGTGTATTAATAGGAAGTCTGAGGTCTAGTAAGGCCACCAGCTCAGGAGACACCTGCCATTGTGAGTAGCTTGTCATATTGACAGATCCCTAGAGAGAGGACACATCACAGCTCATGAAGCACCAGGTGGGTCATGAGACAGAGAGGGGGCAACTGTCAGCCAGAGCCTTTATTATAGATTCCGTGGGAAGGAACAGACAGGGCCAGGCAAGGAGGCTTAGGATTGGCAGGTATGAATCCTATATCGGCAGGCTCTGGGGGGTAGGTTCTGTCCCTAGCTGTCTGACACTTGGCTCGGGCGGGTCACCTGAGGCCAGGAGTTCGAGACCAGCCTGGCCAACGTGGTGAAACCCCATTTCTACTAAAAATACAAAAAGTAGCCGGGTGTAGTGGCATGCGCCTGTGGTCCCAGCTACTTGGGAGGCTGAGGCAAGAGAATCACTTGAACATAGGAGGCAGAGGTTGCAATGAACTGAGATCATGCCACTGCACTACTCCAGCCTGGGTGACAGAGTGAGACTCTGAGACAAAAAAAAAGAAGAGAGTGGGTATGAATGCAAGAGCCCAGTAAGGCAGGTGGTTGGGGGTGTGGACTCCAGACTGGTTGGTTTGTATTTGAAAATCACGCCCTCAATAGGTGAAGTTCTTTCAAGGATGGGGTGCAGCAAGAGAGGCAGGAACTCAAGGCAGTGTCACTCAAACACCATGGGGTGTGCAGAGCAATGTGTGTCCAGCATACACATGCAGGGAAGATATTAAGCATCAGGAGGCCGGGCACGTGGGCTCACAGCCTGTAATCCCAGCACTTTGGAGCCAAGGGGCAGGTGCGATCACCTGAGGTCAGGAGTTCAGAGACCAGCCTGGCCAACAATGGCGCGAAACCCCGTCTCTACCAAAAGTTACAAAAATGCCGGCGGCGGCTGGCTCATGCCTGTAATCCCAGCACTTTGGGAGGCCCCAGACAAGGCAGATCACAGAGGTTCAAGGGGAATCAAGACCATCTTGGCTAACCACGTTGGAAACCCTGTCCTCTACTGCGAAAATACAAAAAAAAATTAGCCGGGTAGCTCCCAGCTACTCAGGAGGCTGAGGCAGGACAATGGGTGTGAACCCAGGAGGTGGAGCTTGCAGTGAGCCGAGATGGCGCCACTGCACTCCAGCCTGGGCGACTGAGTGAGACTCCGTGTCAAAAACAAAACAAACAACAAAAAAAACCCCAAAAGTACAAAAATTAGCCAGGCCTAGTGGTACACGCTTGTAATCCCAGCTACTCAGGAGGCTGAGGCAGGAGAATCGCTTGAACCCGGGAGGCGGAGGTTGCAGTGACACGAGATTGCACCACTGCACTCCAGCCTGGGAGACAGAGCGAGACTCTGTCTCAAAAGAGAAAGCATCAAGATTTCGGAAGGTAGAAACACAGCTCATGTAGCAGGTGGGGGCAGAGGCTCACATTCTGTATGGGTTTTGCAGCTTCAAGCAATATTGGAACAGAGGAGAGCCCAACAATATCGGGGAGGAAGACTGTGCGGAATTTAACGGCAATGGCTGGAATGACGACAAATGCAGTGCTGCCAAATTCTGGATCTGCAAAAAGTCTGCAGCCTCCTGCTCCAGAGATGAAGGGCAGCTTCTCTCCTCAGCCTCTGCATCCCCGATTGCCCATGCGGCATAGTGGAACTTCGCCACTTTTAAGCCAGGGTTCCTTCTCTCCATCCTTGGACCTTCACAAAATCTCTGGGACTGTTCTCTATCAGATTCTTTATTTTTGTTTTGTTTTGTGAGACAGGGTCTCTGTCACCCAGGCTGGAATGCAGTGGCATGATCACAGCTCACTGCAGCCAACCCACCTCCGCCTCCTGAGTAGTTGGGACCACAGGCACGCGTCAAGCCCTGCTAATTTTCACACTTTTTGTAGAGACAAGGTTTTGCTATGTTGCCCAGGCTGGTTTTGAACTCCTGAGCTCAGGCAATCTGATGGCCTTGGCCTCCCAAAGTGCTGGGATTACAGGCGTGAGCCGCTGTGCCTGGCCTCTGTCAAATTCTTCATCCCCACGGGCCTGGATCCAGTCTGTCCTTCTTCGGATGCCTCCAAGGTCCCCTGGTGTAGAGCTTGTGTTTCTGGTTCATCTTGGGAGCTTTGTAAGTGACCTGGTGTGGAATGCCTTTGGAGGGTGGGCTTCGTGTGTTCCATTAACCTACTCTCTCTGTCTTTTGGAGATTAGAGTTTTTGGATTGCCATGTGTAGCTGCTATGTCCCCTGAGGCTTTATCTCATCTGTGCAAACTACCATCTGCTCAATTTCCGTCTACCAGCCCCTGCACCCCTTTGACTGGGGACTTACTGGTTGCCAGAGTTCATCTTACAGGCTGGAAGCACCAGGGAATTCATTCCCCCAGTCAACCAGTGGCACCCAGAGAAGGCATGGAGGCTCGATGCAACCCCTTCCACCCCGAAATCCTCCTTTCTTTTACGTATCTCTTCCATTTGGCTGTTTCTGAGTTGTATCTTTTATCAGAAACTGGTAAACATTGCAGCCACAGAAGTAGCCCAATCTGGTTCAACTTTGTGTAGTAAAATGGCAAGTTATTTTTCAGTTACCTGGACCCCCAGGTTGCAAGGTACATACCTTGATCATGCCCAGATGAACCAAGCAAGTAGCCACAGGCAGAACCTAAGTGTTCAATCCAACAAATGGGGACTGAATTAAGAAGCGGACACCACATGGCATGATCTATGATCCAATCAGATTGCACTCTGACATCATCCCATGGTATGATCCAATCAGATCAAGCCTCCCACGTCACCTCGTTACATGATCCAATTAGGTTACACCTCACTACCCTCTGTATATAAAATCTGCAGCAGCCCCCAGCTCAGAGAGACAGATTTTAGCCAGACTCCTCTCTCCTTACTTGGCTGCCTTGAAGTAAACTTTTATCTCTACAAAATCTGTGTTTAGTTGTTTGGTTTTCCATTGCATGTGGTAAACAGACCCGATTCAGTTCGGTAAGAACATAAGCAGAATGTTTTCCTGAATTCTGTGTCATTCTAGCAAATTACTGGATCTGAAAGGAGTTGTGAAGACCCCCAATTTTTGTTGGGCAGGCAGAAGTGTGGGTGGCCTGGGCATCCCCTTTGCACGTGGGATCTGAAATAGGGTTATTCCTGTGGGACCTGGCTTTTTAACTTGTGGAATGTGGTGCTAACTCCAGGTGGCTAGTGTTAGAATTAGAGAATATTTTGGTGTAGAAAAGATGCTACAAATGCCACCTCCCTTCTACTATTGTTGATCCCAAGGACATTCCTTCATAAACAGCTTGCAGGCTAAATTCCCTCTCACTTAGAGTCAACCTTCAACAGACAGGGGAACTGTAAAGCTTGTCTGTACCATCTCCCTGGAGTGCAGAGGCTCCCAGAGGAGCTGAGTCCAGTTACTCACGTGGGTCAGAAGCTCACTGATGCCTCTGAATCGGCTTTTTTCCTTTCCCTACTTGATTGTCTTCACTTTCCCCGTCCTCTGCTGGTGCTTCTTGGAATCCCCTCCCAGATCAACCTACTTATATCCAAACCCTTGTCTCAAGCTCTGCATCTAGGGAAACCCAAGCCAGCTTATAATATTTTGATGACTACTAGGCATGGCACTTTGTGTGTGTGTGTGTGTGTGTGTGTGTGTCGATCTCACTTTTTCACCCAGGCTGGAGTGCAGTAGTGTGATCACAGTGGCTCACTGCAGCCTCGATTTCCCGAGCTCTAGCGATCCTCCCACCTCAGCCTCCTGTGTAGCTGGGACTAGAGGCATGCACCACCACACAATTTTTTATTTTATTTTATTTTAGAGACAAGGTCTCAGTATGTTGCCCAGGCTGGTCTTGGACTCCTGGGCTCAAGAGATCCTCCTGCCTCAGCCTCCCAAAAAGCTGAGATTATAGGGAGAAGCCACCAAGCCCTGCCCTGTTACGGTTCTTCTTTATTCAAAATGTTCTCAGCCACTCTTGTGAAATATTTTAGATGATATTTAAATTACTCTATCTTTAAACCTTTTGTTTTGCTTTTTGAATGTCACCTGTGCACATGGAACTGAAACATCAAGCTCCACAGCGAAAACAAAAGCTGGCTCCCTCCTCATTGTCTGACCTCAAGAGGTTCTTCTCCCTAGTTGCAACCTCTCTATCATATTCCAGATAATCCACGCGTCAGGTTTTTTTTTTTTTTAATCCAAAATGTGTTTATTGAGATGGTTTCCCACTCATCTTGATTCAGAGTGCCTTTAGTGCTGCTTCCTCTTAAAGCAACATCCTTCTGTAAGCCTTGCTTTTCCTCCTGTAGGCTGGCAGAGGACAGTGGAGCAGCCAACACACAAAACTACCTTTTGTGCATGGCTAAAGACCGTGGTGATTTTATAGCATCCTGGGCATTTCACAGCCATGAAGTAGGAATTGGGGCTCTGCACCAGGCGTTTCTTCTTGTGTTTCCTCTTCTCCTCTTCTGGGGAGGGATGAAGGAGATCCTTTGCGAGAGACATGTTCTCGTGTGGGTAGGTCGTCACCGCCGGAAAAGCCAGGTTTGTTTTTAAATCTGTTTGGCAATCCTTCAATGGAATTTTGAAAAATATATTTGTGAGCAGACAGAGCCTGAGGACTTTTAGGAACCTACTCCGTATGTCTGATACCGTAATGGTGAATACATGTCATTATACATTTGTCCAAAACCGTAGAACATAGGACACCAAGAGTGAACCCTCATCTAAACTAGGGACCGTAGGTAGTAATGACAGGTCAATGTCAGTCCATCAGTTGTAATAAACACACCACTTGGTTGGGCGCGGTGGCTCACACCTGTAATCCCAGCACTTTGGGAGGCCTAAGCAGGTGGATCACTTGAGGTCAGGAGTTTGAGACCAGCCTGGCCAACACGGTGAAACCCCGTCTCTACTAAAAATACAAAATTTAGCCAGGCATGGTGGTGGGCATTTGTAATTCTGTCGCCCAGGTTGGAGTGCAACGGTGAGATCTCAGCTCACTGCAACCTCTGCCTCCCGGATTCAAGCAATTCTCCTCCCTCAGCCTCCCTAGTAGCTGGGATTACAGGCGCCTGCTACCACATCCAGCTAATTTTTGTATTTTTAGTAAAGACAGGGTTTCACCATGTTGGCCAGGCTGGTCTCGAACTCCTGACCTCAAGTAATCCACCCACCTCGGCCTCCCAAAGTGCTGGGATCACAGGTGTGAGCTGCTGTGTCCAGCTTTGTGTCTTTAGTTATTCAGATCTTAGCTACATGTAAGGGCTTAATCTATACTCTTCCTATAATTATTCTTTAATGTTCAAGAATTTTTCTTGTAGTAGCTCATGTCTATAATCCCAATGCTGTGGGAGGCAGAAGGATCGCTTGAGCTCAGGAGTTCGAGACCAGCCTGGGCAACATAGCAAGACCAAGGTTTCTGAAATAAATAAGTAAATCAAACCTTCCTTGTATTGTGAAGAGGGTTTTCTTTCCTTCTATATTTGCAAATACTCACTGCTGCAACCTAAGAAAGCTGCTCCTTTTAAAGAATCACCTTGCTGAGATCTTTAATTAGTTCAGAAGTCCCTCGAACTGCCTAGATACAAGATCGCGGCTTCCAAATATTGTCAGCTCTGACTCATCCTTTCCAGTGTTTACAGGTCTTAATTCTTTATATATATATATGTATTTTTTTTGAGACGGAGTCTTGCTTTGTCGCCCATGCTGGAGTTCTGTGGCCGGATCTCAGCTCACTGCAAGCTCCGCCTCAGGGTTTACGCCATTCCCTGCCCTCAGCCTCCCAAGTAGCTGGGACTACAGGCGCCTGCCCACCTCACCCGGCTAGTTTTTTTCTTGTATTTTTTAGTAGAGACAGGTTTTTCACCGTGTTAGCCAGGATGGTCTCGATCTCCTGACCTCGTGATCCGCCCGTCTCGGCCTCCCAAAGTGCTGGGATTACAGGCTTGCGCCACTGCGCCCGGCCATAATTCTTTATATTTTCTCATTGCATTGACAAAATAGCAAGAGGGACATCTTTATCGTGTTCTTGATTTTACTAAATATGCTTCTCACAATATGCTGCCCAGACTGGTCTCGAACTCCTGGCCTCAAAGAGATCCTCCCACCTCTGCTTCCCAATGTGCTGGAATTATAGGCGTGAGCTGCCTCACACAGCCCCTGTCTCTTAAAAACAAAACAAAGCAAAATGAGAGGAGAGAGACACAGAGGGAAGATGATGTGAAGAGGGAGGAAGGGAGAAAATCATGACAACAGAAACAGAGATTCCAGTGATGGGTCTACAAGCCAAGGAATGCCAAAGGTTGTCGGCAACCACCAGAATCTAGAGGCGCAGGGAAGGATTCTCCCCTACACGATTCAGAGTGAACACGGCCCTGCTGACATCTTGAGTTCAGACTTCTGGCCTCCAGGACTGTGAGAGAATATCTTTGTGTTGTTCAAAGTCCCTGCTTTGTGCCACTTTGTTATGGCAGCCCTAGCTCACCGATTCTGGCTGGATAAGGTAATTTCTGTGAGCCTGCCGAAACGCCTTACTCAATAGGGGTCTTCCTGTGTTGTCCAGGTTGGTCTCCAACTCCTGGCCTCAAGTGCTTCTCCAGCCTAGTGCTGGGATTACAGGTGTAAGCCACCACAGTTGGCCCCAGCATTTCTTTTGGGGGACACTGTTCAACCCACTACACCGTGGACATTTTAAATTTGTTCTGGGTCTTACCAAAAATGGTTCTCATGTTTCACTATTAAGCAAGACATTTCTGTAGGATCCTGGAAATTGCTGCTTCTCAAATTAAGGAAGCTTTATCCTGTTCTCTG